GGGAAGGAGGTGAACAACAGAGGAACGTGGCACTTCTTCTTCCACCCGCTTCTGGAGCGGAGAGAGCATTTGCGTGCGGCCGCCGCCACGCCGCCCCATCTTCGTCGGGGTGCTGGAGGGCCCCCCGCTCAGCACCCACTGACGGGGGTGCTGGGCTCTGGGGTGGTGTGGGCAGCTTTGGGCTGAGGGTTCTGCTGCCCTGCCCCGAGGACGGAGGTGCCCGGAGGAGTACTGAAGTCCAGCTGTGCAGCCCCCTGGGGGCTACTGCTCTGCTGCTGGTGGTTGCCCAGCTCGGGGAGAGCACTCCCAAGGACTTCTACCAGACAGCCCAGGGCCACTAGGACAAAGTCGGAGAGCTGGGCCTGTTATCACTGGCTTCTCCTGGCTCAACTGCTTCAGGGCTGGAAAAACATTTCCATTCCAGGACTCATCCCCCGGGGCCAGCGGAGGTTTCAGCCTGAATTAGCTCAGCTGAAAGGAGAATTGGTCTCGGTTTGCCTTTGTGTTGGGTGGCTGCAGGCAGGAGGGCAGACAGCCGCCAGCAAGACAGCACAAACTCTGTTCAACCTCTTGTAGCGTTGGTGGGAACCATGAAAAACCCCTTCTGTGCCGCCGCGGCTGCAGGCATCTGGGATTTTTGCTTTATCTCCCAGCCTGGATAAACGGTGGCACAGTGAAATCAGGGGATGACATCTGGAGCAAGTGATTTTTTTTTTTTTTTAATTTGATTTTTTTGCTTGAGGTTAAAGCCCTTGAGGGTTGTGTCTCAATATCCAGCCCCTCTTTGCTATTCAAACTGAAGCTATGGTAGGAAAGGCAGCTTGCTCTTCTGCAACATGATTTTCCTCATGTCTCCTGTGCCCAGAAGAGACCACCTTGGTGATGGCACCTGCTGATGCTCCTGACTCTTAGAAGGTGGAGAGTAAAAAGGAAAGCAATGAGAGTTTTTATTTTATTGCTCTTCGGCTTTGTAAATCACCTAAGAATTGGAGACCAAAGTAGTAGCCCCGGGGCACTTAAAGCTCATGTGTTAAATTTCTTTACCCTTATTTATAGTTATTTCTAATTTAGCCTTCCGTTGTTGCCTGCCTGGGACCCGAGGTTATGGCATATGGAGATGTCTCCAGCGCGGGTGAGCTGCTGCGGATCCACCTGGGCAGTTGTGCAAACCACGCTCTCTGTGGGAACAGCATTCCTCCTCCACGGCAGCAATAAATGTTTCCAGCTGCCTAATTATATTTTATTAGAAAACGAGCTCGTTAAGAGATGCGCTAGCCCGAGCGAGCTTCCTGGTCGTGCTGCAACACCTCGCGTCGGGGTGACCCAGCAAACACAAGGGTTTGGCCGGTGGCACCAGTACTGTGCAGGCAGGACTGCTGTTACTGAGCTGAACTGCGGGAGCCCCGAGAGCTGCAACTCCAGTGTTTTCAAATAAATGCAGTTTTAAATGAAGAATTAGCGTAAATTATCAGTCAACTTTGTAAAGTGCAACCACTTTCTGTCTCTCTGTGAGCCCATCCACACCCTCCGTGCTCTGTAAGTGGCTTTATTATTCCTCTCTGTGAACCTTAATTGGTTCCAGATCCTTCAAATGTGCTCGTTAAAAATCAGCTTGCCTGGGAGCTCGCTGACTAACCTGGGATAGGGCTGGAATTGTGTGTCTGGAGATGCAGGCGCTCACTTCAGAGCAACGCAGCTGACACTGGATGTCACCATTGCACAGCACAAACCTCGCTGAAGGTGCTCGGCACTCATCTCCCTGCAAGAAAAAGCCTTATCTCTTGTCTCCCATCTATTCCTCCCGGCTAGTTTATCTTTTTCCTGAGAGTTATGGTTTCACTCAAGCTTTGTGCTGCTTGTAACATCTAAGCAGGACAGGGGGAATCCTCCTGAAGCCCACTGAAACCAGTTCTGCGCTGGTGTAGTCGCAGAGCCAAGCAGGGACTGAACTCCCTGACGGCAGCGGGATTACTGCGCGCAGGATAATCGGGTTTGGTTTATCAGCTTCACAGATGGATGGTGAAAGTTTTGCGTCGTTCTTAGTTAAACTGCGTGCACACAAGAGTTATTCACTTATTGTCTGCCTGGGATCTCTGGCCACGTGTTTTCTGAAATAATACTGGACTGGGGTGTAGGTTGTTAGCAAAAAGTCATTGAAATCTTCAGGGAAAAGAATGTGTGAATGTATCTCTCTTCCCATCTACAAAAGTAATTGGGTGTCTGCATTTTATTTTTTTTTTAAGTAAGTGGCCCTTAATGTTTGGTGCTTGAAGCTTGCAGTGCCTGCTTGGCTCCAGCATGTCCTTAAAGCTGAAATGGAATGAAATGGGAGGAATAACGGAATTATTCTCCATCCTTGTGTAACAAAACATGCCCCTCTCTTCTATTGCCTCTACAGAGCAGAGAAACGCACGTATAGTGATGACTACCCTGCTACTCACCGAGCAAATCACACGAGAAGACCGTGGCTCGGAGGGAAACTATGTCCTTTATGGAGCCTCGTGTTCCCAACTCACTGAGGAAGCTGAATACATGAAAAAGGTATTTCTGAAGCTGTCGTGGTTCTGTTCCTTTC